CTCTATAAGATAATATATGCTATTGAAAGAAAGTCTTATATAATTAATGATATGGGGTGGACTGAGACTTGGATAGACTGGTCAATATAAAATTAATGTTAAATAAATTTATTAATGGAAACCCTATTACTTTTTATAAAAAGAGGAGTCACCCTCAATCTGACTTATTATTCATTAATAATAAAAATATAATTCTAATTAATAAGAGGTTTAAATCAGATAGGGGAAATACTCCCACTAATTTTATCCCACCCTTTTCTATTATTAAAGAATTTATAGATTCCTATATCCCACAGATAATTTCATTCCAAACTAAGACTACTCTAAAGACTAATGATGAGATTAAAATCTTACACACAGCTCTTAAACTTCTTAAAATTTATTCTGTATCTGGAAGAAAATTCACAGAAAATAGAATGCTTAACTGGCTTAAATTAGAAGGGGGTGATTTAGTTATATCTAATACAATTAATAATATTTCTAGAAATAAATCGTACTCCGTTGGGGAAATATCTTCTACCAGCTGGTATAACTTACAAATTCATGTTCCTAATTCTTCTCATATTCAAATTAAGAATTCTGATATGGCTCCTATAATTAGATCTGAGCTAAGTAACTTTAATATGATAGAAGAGATGGGGATGGTTCTGTTTTATATAATTTTTAACTTTATAATCAATATAGATAAGGGGGTATTAATAAATTTAAATAAAAAACAAGTAAAGAGTCCAGGTATTATATTATGTAATATGATTGATAAATATCCTTTTCCACAAGAGTATTGGGACCATCAATACTTAAATAATTTACTAGAAGGTTACCCAGACATAATTTTATCACAAGATATTCTTGATTTAATACTAAGTAAATTCACTAAAAATAATAAAGTGGAGACTTTAATAGATCTTTATGACATATTAATAAATATTGAATTCTTTAATATAAACTTAATTTTAATAAATAATAAAACATACTCAAATAATAATAATAATAAACAGCTATATAAGAATCGTTATAAGGATCTTTATAACAAGTATAAAATAGATTTTCTTTTACCCTATAATTTTGAGGTAATTATGTCAAGTCTGTTGAGAATTAATCATATAAATCTCATATATAATATACTCCAGAAGACACCAATGGATTATAATAGATTTTGGTTTGAGGATATGATGGTCAGAAAATTAAGATATCTCAGCGAGGAGAGAAAATAATAATTATAACAAATATCAGGATTATCATAAAAAGTAATAACGGGTACCTTATTTTTGTTACATCTGTTTTTTTAAGATTTTAAAGGGTTATAAGGGGTTAAAACCTAGATTTTAAGAGATTTTACTATGATTTTTCTAAATATTCAGGAAATTACACATAAACTAGAGTTAAATTCTTAAGTTTTTACTGATAAATAAGAATTATATAGAGGAAATTTTATAATTTCCCTATTTTATAAGGTTTTTAGTTAAAATAAAACTGAAATCTTGTGACTATAAGAGAGAAGTAAACTTCATGAGGTTTTTAGTTAAAAATAAAACTAAAATCTTGTGACTATAAGAGAGAAGTAGAAATCCCCCATGATAAAATAATTATTAATATAAATATGGAATTGGCTATAAAGAATGATTTGCCTTAGTTGAGGGGACTAAAGTAGATTAGGATTCCAGCCATATAAAAGGAATAGCTTTATTTTATTGTCTAGGCTAAATAATAATTATAACAAATATCAGGATTATCATAAAAAGTAATAACGGGTACCTTATTTTTGTTACATCTGTTTTTTTAAGATTTTAAAGGGTTATAAGGGGTTAAAACCTAGATTTTAAGAGATTTTACTATGATTTTTCTAAATATTCAGGAAATTACACCTAAACTACAGTTAAATTCTTAAGCTTTTACGGATAAATAAGAATTATACAGAGGAAATTTTATAATTTCCCTATTTTATAAGGTTTTTAGTTAAAAATAAAACTGAAATCTTGTGACTATAAGAGAGAAGTAAACTTTATGAGGTTTTTAGTTAAAAATAAAACTGAAATCTTGTGACTATAAGAGAGAAGTAAACTTCATGAGGTTTTTAGTTAAAAATAAAACTAAAATCTTGTGGCTATAAGAGAGAAGTTTAAATCTCCCATGAGAAAATAATTATTAATATAAATATGAAATTGGCTATAAAGACTAAGTTGCTTTAGTTGAGGGGGACAGCTAAAGTAGATTGGGATTCCAGCCTTATAAAAAGGAATAGCTTTATTATATAAGGTTATGGGGGCTTATAGAATTAGTTAATAAAAAATATTAAATCCTACCACTTTAAATATAAGCCCCCATTCCTAAACCTAGTAGTAAATGAAAATAAACCTTATATTTATTCATAACTCTTTTTTACTATTGATGATAAGTTTTAATACTTATATGTTATTCTTTACCATTGAGGTAAGATTACTCTCAACTTTAGAGGGGAATAAACCCCCAATTAAACAGGTTAGTTTAAATCACTCAATGTTTAACACTTTGGGGGTGGGATTAAAATCCAAGAGATTCCTATCTACAGAAAATACAAATATGTCCTTTATGCCAGATGTTAATCTTATGGAAAAGTTTATAGAGAGATTTATAAAAACTATGTTCTTTTTCCAATTAGAAAGGAAGTTTGATCTTAATTTATATATAATGGATATTTTACCAGAAACTGTTACTGATATAAGTAAATTCCTTAATTTTAGTAATAAGGAAATAAATTTGGAAGATGTTGAAATCTGGATGGACAGAAAAGGGGATATATCTATTCTTGAGGAAACAATAAATCAATTATTATCAGAGGTTAAAACAATACCAAAACATGATTTCTTAATTCCAATTTTAAGGGATATAAGATGGGAAGAGTTAAGGAGATTATTAATCAAAGAAGATAGGGAGCTTCCATATTTTACTAGTAGATTAGGGGATCTAGGACCCATAAATAACCTTATTTTAAAGATGGAGGGAATTGATTTAGAGTTTAAATCAACTCTTCTCTTAGGGCTACCACTAGAAATAAATAATCTTGGACAAACTAATATTAGATTAATGTCTGATGAGATAAAAAAGAAATACTCCAATTCCAACGTTATAGGAGTTCAAAAAACTTATGATATAACCATTAATCTAGGATGTTCAAATCTAGAGAAAAAACTATTTGAGATAAATAAGTTTATGAATGTTTCCATGGATATGTCAAGGTTTTTTATAGGAAAAGATAAGAATGATATTAATTCTTTATTTACATATTATAAACTAAGGACAGTTATTAACGGAATTAATGAAATTAATAATTTGGGAAGATATTTTATATCATATTTGAAAACCAAAGAGTTTAGGTATAATAATAATTATGACCAGTATAGGGACATCTATAAATCAACTATGACAGAATCTATAGATTCCAAGGGGGTTAGAGTTCTAATACCTAATAAGAAGTAAGAGGTAAGGTAATCATTCTAATTATTTATAAATTAATCAAATATATGATATTTTACATATTTAGTAAGGGTATAGTAAGGGAGAATATAAACCTGAACATAATAGTATATTTGTAATACAAAATATATAATAAATATATACCTTTAAGTAATTTAGGTTATAAAATATATAGGGGTATTCCAATATAGCACTATTTCAGTATAAATAGGGTATATTTAATAATAAATTAAATCCTATAAATATAATAATCATTCTAATTATTTATAAATTAATCAAATATATGATATTTTACATATTTAGTAAGGGTATAGTAAGGGAGAATATAAACCTGAACATAATAGTATATTTGTAATACAAAATATATAATAAATATATACCTTTAAGTAATTTAGGTTATAAAATATATAGGGGTATTCCAATATAGCACTATTTCAGTATAAATAAGGTATATTTAATAATACTAATTCTTTAACTTTATGAGTTAATATAAATAGGTCTTGTATAGATTGATGATAACCTAGTCTCTTAATAATATATTTAAGTCTTATATAGACTAATAATAACCTAGGCTCTTAATAATAATACATTTAAGTCTTATATAGACCAATTGTTAGTCTTATTAATTATTAGAAATAATAAATTAATCAAATATATGATATTTTACATATTTAGTAAGGGTATAGTAAGGGAGAATATAAACCTGAACATAAAAGATTATTTATAATACAAAATATATAATTTATATAAACCTTTAATTAATATAGGTCATGAAATAGATAGTGATATTCTAATATATCATTATTTAGCATAAATGTATAGGTTATTAAGAATAATAGATAAGTCTTACATAGACTAATAATAGCCTTAGGCTTTATATATAATTATATTTCTATCAGTAAAGGAAGAAGTATTTTCTTATTATAATAAATAATGGATAAATATATTTAATAACTGGTACCTTATTTTGGTTACATGTTTCTAAGATATTTTATGTATTTATAAGGTAATTATCTAGTATTTTAATATAATTATACCCTAAATAATACCGTATAGGTACCTTACTATAGGTACATATGGGGTGTTTTTTTTAGGGGGGGATCCCCCATAACCCCCCTTAGCAGAGAATAATTATATAATAAGATATATATAATATCAAATATATAAATTTTGATTAGAATTAATCAATTATATAAATTATATATTAAAATATATACAAATTTTAATTGAAGTTATAAATTTTAGTTAAAAATCTTTATTAATTATTTAATATGAGATTATAATTTTACAGAATTTAAGATTAGTTTTTGTTAAATGTTAAAAACTTAAATGTTATATCTCTACTCGCGTACACTCGCATGAATATTAAGAGTAATAATATATTATTATTACTCATATATTATTATTTATTAAATTTATCTACAATAAATAAATAATAATATAATATATATAGCATTTAATATGCTAATATATAATAATAACACGTATGTACGTGAGGGGATTTTGGATAGATAAAAACTAAAATTAGAGATAAAAAGGAATTTCTTTTTAATTGAATTTAGGAATATAGGGGGATGTTTAAAGAATTATAATAGTAGGGGGAAATCCTAATAAAGAAATTTATATAAAAATAAGAGAAAGGAATTATCCGAGTATCATAATCCATTTAAGAAAGTATTGAGAAAGAAATCTTAGATAAAGTAAATTAAACCAATATAAGATAAATCGTTTAAGATCTTATTTCTTGGAGATTGAAATATGTCCCAGTATTAACAAAGAAAAAGAGTTGGTATAAACTTGAATGTTTTAATTAAATTTAAAATAGAAGGGGAACGTGGAATTATAATTACTTTAATTTGTGAAATGAAAAAACTAAAACCTATATTTGTTTTCCCTAGTAAAGATGGGTACCTGTAGGATAATGGGCCAACGAGTTGAAAGTATGGTGAGTTGAAAAACATAGGGAAACCAAATCTGAATAAGGTGTTAATCATACTTGTCCCGAAAGTAAGTGATCTATTCTTGGATAGGACTCTCAAATAGGAAAGAGATAACTAGGATTAAATATAAAAGGTTAATCTTTAGAAGAAGGTCCGCACTCGTGATTGTGCAAAACTCTGAGAAAATCTAAGAATAGCAGTGAAATACTAATCGGACTTACTTATAACTGGTTTTCTGCGAAATGGTTAATTAGATCAGCCTCTCATATAATAAAGTTAAATCTATCAGATAATGTTGGGTAATGTTGTCCTATGATTAAATTATGAGGGAGTTGGAGGTTAGGGGAAAGTCTCTAAGCCTCAAAAGGATAACAATCCAGATTTACAGTTAAGGTTCCTAAAAGTAGTTATTTAGGTTTAAAGGGGTTATGAAGTTGTAAGTACACATTGTAATAGGTATAGTGGAGTATGAAAGTTTATTAATTAATACTAAGAAATGTGTAAAGACATACCTCTGAATTAAATCTTTAAGATGCTAATAACATTTTATAGATCCTTCTTTAACCCCTGCTAAATTAAAGGAGATAAACTACTTACCGAAACTTCTAATCTTTCTAATCTTATTAATTTGAGATTTTAACTATAAATAGAAAGGTGGTAGCAGAACGTTCTATAATTTTACTTAAATCCAAGTATCACATTAGTTAAATTTAATGGGTTATCTGGAACAAGAGAAGATATATTAGGGAGGCCTTTATATTTCTTTAAAAAAGATATTGTGTAAAAAATTTATAGAAGTGATGATGTTGGCATGAGTAAGGGAATGAATTGCCCAGTGATATTTTCATCAACATATAAATTAAATGTTGGGTCAATAATTTATTTATTAAAATATTTATATTGATTTCCATCCTTAACATTGGGTTGAAGGTTTAATAAAAATAATTATTAAAGGAATGAAAGAAAAAGATATTCGGTCTCTAACTGAAAAGGAAGAGTAATAAGGTTTATGAGAAATCTGGAAAACTCTTATTTGAACCGTACATTAAAGGATAATACCTTGGGCTAATGTAATTTGTTTGAAATCAATCTAGTGAACTCGGCAACAGTTTGGACAACTGTTTACTAAAGACATTTCCTCAAAGCTAGTGGTTTTCATTTGTAATTAAGAGGTGTCGCCTGCTCAATGGATGAAGGTAACTCTATCTAAATAGCAGCTTTTATATAGTTCGAAGGTAGCGAAATTTCATGTCTTTTAATGAAAGACTAGCGAAGGGTTGAATGATCCAAACACTATAAAGATTGATGCTCCCTGAAATTGGATTCAAAGTGAACATACTTTGATATAAGAGAGAGGGACGAAAAGACCCTTGAAGCTTTAGAGAATCATAGCTTAAAAATAATAACTAAATTACACTCCATAGATGAATTCTAATCCTTGAAAAATACTTATGGTGGGGAAACCTCTTAGATGAATTTCTAATTATGATTTAGTTGTCATAAAATAGTTTACTATCTCACCCTATATATAAATTTATAGTAATTAATTTTAAAATTAAATATTTACTATATTCATATGGATAAATCTATGGAGAGATGGAATTAAAATTAATTCTAAAATTAAATTAAATTAAAGTCTAACTCCATTATGTAATGGTATTTTCCTAGTTAAAAGTGATTGAGAAGTAATCTTTAATTTCTACTAGGTGGATTAATAATTCTCAATTGAAAGTTAGATTTAGATTAATTATAAATTATTTCTATATTAACTTAATATTAGGTTTAACTCACTTAACTTATTATTTTGTCTATTAATAAGGAGGAGGTTAGTAATTTTAATTATGAGGAAATTATCTTTATTAAATCAATCAGAAGTAAAAGTAAACTTAATATTAAAATTGATAAAATATTTAATTTTTTGATAATAGTTTAAAATAAGCATGAATTCCTCTTTGGTCGGGGAAGTGACTTTGTCATAATTTAAAAGAACAAAAGATCTATCGAGAGATATGATAATCCTAGAGGGGAAATCTTATTTTATTAAATATTAATTTATCTATATTGGGAAAGATATAAGATACGCCCTATCTTAGGAAAAGGTCTGAGATGGATTAATCCATTATATCTTCAAGAATAGTAGGAACCCATTGACCTAATTAGACATTTAATAATTAGAGAGGGATAACTATATATTTAGATCTCAGTGAGTATTAAAACTCAGTATCTTTCACATATGGATAATAAAATATTTTAGTTAATTCATAAATATCTTCTTGGTTAGGGAGGGGTTTAAATAACCCTATAATAAATATAGACTTTAGAGTAAGATCTTAACCTAGGTCAGCTTCTAATCGAGTGATGACTAACCCCCAAGAAGATATTATAAATGGAGAAAACTATAATCAAATAAACCTAAGACTAACTAGTTGAAGGGGGGTGTAATCAACATCTAAGAGAATTAGGAATGTGAACATCATTTGTCTCTTTATATTAATCCTTTTAGAAATAATACCTTCTAGAATGGAAAAAGGAAAGAAGTTACTCAAGGGATAACAGGGCTTGTATCTCCGAAATTTTTAATTGAATCGGGATAACGGCTACATCGATGTTGGCTTGACCATTCCTAGAGATGATCTTTTAGGGTCTCTTTAAGGGAAGTATTGTTCTCGACTGTAAATTGGTCAGTGAGCTGAGTTTAGAACGGCGTAAGCTAGTTCGGTTGCTATCTTCTCTCTATTTAACCTAACATTAACCTCCTTAATACGAGAGGAATTGGGGATTAAAGTTAAAGGTGAAAAGCCTAACTTTTTCTTGGTAATTCTATATATTAAGAAATTAGATAGAACCAAGGTGTTAGAGTTTATTAATAATAATAAATTTTATAAAATTATTTAATGCTAAATAGAAATAAATTAAATTTATGTAGTTTTCAGAATTATCAGTATGAGGGGGGTTTTAATATCATCAAGAAGGAGTATGATGAGAAGAAATCCTCTAAAGAAATTATAATCCTATTGTTACTTTCCATTGAAGGGTTTTTGTTAATTTTATTTTTTGTAAACCCTATAGGTAAAGGTCTATTAATATATTTATCTATAATTAGTTTATTTCTATTTCTTATATCAATATCATATTTTTATAAATGTTAAAAAAGATACTATTTATTTTATCAATCCTAATTCAAATAATATTTCCATTTTTAATTATAATAAATTTTAATTTATTATGGGTTTTAATCCACAGTATAATTTCTAAATCTTTAATAATATTTTTATTCAGTTTAGTAATCTTACCTAAATCTTTAAAGGGGAGTGATAAATTGAAAAACTATTTTATTTATTATTTCATTATGGAGGTGACCTGTGAAATTATAATAATCTTAGGATATATATACTCGATAAATTATATTCTACCTATTATAATCCTTTGTAAGTTAGGAGTCCCACCCTTCCATTATTTCTATGAAGGATTGGTTAAAGATATAAATAACCTTCTTCCAGGAACTGGGGGTAGATTAATAATTATTACTTTAATTATATCTAATAAATTATGGGTCTTAACCCTCTCCTCTATAATTCCACAATCAGAGAGTATATTAATTTTCACAATTATAAGCATAACTTTATTATTCCTCCATTATTGGAAGAACACTATAGAGATAGTTATAGCTAGTTTTATAATAAGTAATTCTTTTATAATTATAATGTCTTTATTTTTATCTATTTTGGAGATTTACATTTATATAGTGGTAACTTGTATAATCCAATATCATATATTATCACTACTAAATAAGACTAATGAAAAGAAATTATTTAATCTTCTGATAATTTTAAATGGAAACCCAATATCAGGACTAGGTTGGATAAAATTTATAATAATCTTATTAGAGTTTGGTAATGCTGGTATACTTCTATCATTTATTCTATCTCTAATAACAATCACTTATTTATTAATCCCTCTATATATATTTAAAAATATATCACAATCAATACAACAATTGGGAATACATTTCTCCACTCATTTAATAATGGTTATAATTGGTTTACTTCTTTTAGGAGACCTGCAGGCTCCAAATATTTGTAATTCCATTAATCATGATTTAGATATTGGGGAGGAGTTTAATAAGATAGAATTAATTGAGAAGGAAGAAGAATTATGTGAAATAAGTAAAATAAGAAAAAATAATTTCATGATACTAGAAATTGGTGCTAGTAATATAATAAAAAATAAATTACATATAACTGAAGAGATATATTTTCAGGAAGATGAGACAAGGGAAATTAATTTTATATTAGACTCCTCTATTGGAATTTCATGTTATACCACTATTCTAGAGATCAACTCCTATGAAGATACAAAAGATATTCCTGAGATAGAGGATACTTTAATAAATGAGATTGAGAATAAACTACTACCTATAATCCTACCTTTGAGGGGAGTGGAGGATATGGAATTAATTGAGGGGGGAACTCTAAACTATTTGGATATGGAAGTCTCTAAACTACTTAAGTTAAATTAACTTTGGTTAATTGATGAAATTTTTAATTATATTTTTAATATATTTTCTTATTCCATCTAATTTAAGTTCTTATAGGATATTATTATTAAGTTTATTATTACAACTTTTATTAATAATATTTATTTTTAGATATTCTATAATATTTATTTTTATATCAGAGGTTTGGATAATTACCTCAATTTTTATTAATAATTATGAAACTTACAAAAATAGTAAGTATATATTAATTATATTTTTAATATCAATTCCAATTTTATTTATCCTTGTTATTTTTCTACAAACATATGATGAACTAATTAATTTAATCTTAACTCTTATTCTTATAAAAACACTATTAATGTCTTTAATATGTTTTTTAGAGAATAATAAGGTGATTAATATAGAGAAAATTAATTATATGATATTTTATGTATTTAACTCTAAAATATTAATATTTATTTACTCTTTTATAATTTATAATATGGGGATATCAAATCAATTAAATTATTTAAATAATCCAATAATTATTTTCTTTGTATTATTAAGCCTAATATTTTTATATGTTTTAATTTTTATATGTATTTCAAGAAATGATTGGATTAAGTATATATTAATATTAATTAATATATCCCAATTACTTATGTTAACTTCAGGACAAATAAATACAAGATTATTTTTTATATCTTTATTAATTGATATCATTATGCCTTTAATTTTAATTTATATAATTCTTTATGGGAAAAATATTTTAACACTTATAGGGAGTTATATTGGATTAACCTCATTTCTAATCTTAATAGCAATAAGTTTTACTGTAGGTCTAATTCCATTCCCCTCCTTCTTCTTGGAGGTTAGTAATTTAATTATATATCTAAACTTTATCAAGAAGGGGTTTGAACCTATATATATTTTTATATTATATTTATTACTACTAATTCATTTTATATTATTATTAAAAAATATAATATTGATAGAAGGGGGATTAATAAATATTCACTTAATATATAGGTCAGATGACTATACCTTAATTCATATAGGATTAATAATTATTATATATATAATTCTTTCGGAGTTCTATTTATTCAATGATTTATTTATATAATATTTTTTATAATTTAATATCTCCTAACCTAATAGCTAAAGAGGGAATATATTTAATAATTGGAAGTAAGTTAGATTACATATTAATAATACTACCCATTTCTATCTTATTAATAATCTATATTTCAAGTAAATCTCTCTCCCAATATATGAAAGGATTTAAACATAGTGATGGAGTTTTTTCCCTGCTTGTATTTATTCTCTTATACATATCAATTAGTAAAAATCTACTAATTCCAGAACTTATTCTCTCCTCCTTTATTTCAATAGTACTAGTCTTAATTGGATTTGGGATAAACATAAAAGTATTAGCTATTGTTATATTTAAAATTCTTGCAGATATTTTATTAATTATATTTTATAGTGGTAATATGAGAGTAATCATTGATATAGGAGAAGAAGGTTTTTTATTTCCCCTAATTAATCAAAATATGTTAGTTCTGGCTGTTAGCATTTATTCTCTTTTGGGAATATTTTCCTTCTGGATATTTTGGGGGATGGATGCCAGTTATTATATATCTTCCTATTTACATTCCTGTGGATTCATAATAATAGGAGTTATTATTACTTATAAAATATTTAATTATTTTTCACTTAAAGATATTGGAATTTTAATTCCAATAGTGAATATAGGAATTGCTAGCATTCTATTTTTAAGTATTATATTTATAAACATAAAAGATTATAAGAAATCCTTTGGGATATTTTCAGCTATAAGTATAAACTATTTTTATATTCTTATATTTATATCTCCAAATCAAGCAATTAGTTATTTCATATTTTCTTCAATATTTAAATTCTTATATTTTTTTATTCTAAGTAATATAAATAAATTCCCAACAAGAATATATCTAATTAAGATATTTGTAAGTCTAGAATTATTATTTTATTCTTTTAATCTATTTCTTTTAGGGGGGAAAGGAATTTTAGGGGATTTAATAGAAATATTAATATTATTAAAAATAATAATAACTCCAATATATATAATTAAGACAATTAATTCTTTAAACTTAGGTAATATAAATATAATAGGATATTTAAAGATATTAATATTAAATATTATTTTCTTCTTATTATTTTTAACAAATAGTAATACTAATTCCCATCATCTTATATTTTCTATCTTAATACTAATAATATTAATTATAACTTGGGGGACTAATTTATTAATAACAAGAATAGGGATTAAGAATATTGAAATTATCTTTAGAAATATAATTTATAAATTCCTAATATTTATATATCTGATATTACAGGAAAAGAATTATACACATATAAGATTTATTAAAAAGAACTTAAGAATAACGGAAAAAATTAATAGAGGGGGTATATCTTTAAATATGATTATCTTTTTTCTAATTGTATTAATAATATAATGAAATATAAAACTGAATTTATATATTTTACATTTCCAGTAATATTAAAATCCTCTAGATTATATGAAGAGAGAGGGGTTGGGGTTAGTTATGAAACTCACTCCCAGACCATAATTGGTAGAGATATATGTTTTGATTTAGGGATTAAAGAATCTGAGATATGTACAATTAATTCTTCTAGTTTTCTATTACTTAAAGAAAGAATTTTGGAGTCTAAACTTATAAAACAGTTATTAACAAAAATAACTATTTTAGGTTTACCATTACTATATACATCTCTAATTGAGGTACAGAGAGTCTCTATGATTAATGAGGGGAAAAGATGGGATTATTTTAGTCTAAATCTAATTAAAGATTATAATGTAATCTTAAATCATATGAAAAATAAAGATGAGTTTACTAATAATATTATCTTCAAAATCATTAATCCTATAGATATAATACCAACTGAACTATTTAATTATTCTATAAAATTATTAGAAATAGAAGAAGAAATTTTAAGTAAAGATTTATATATTATTCAATTGTGTAAATCCAATACAGAATATAATCTAGTTCTGGATGAAAATATTACTTTCTATTTAGGGTCTTCCATAAGAGAAGGTTTGGATCTATTTATCTCAGGGGAAAGTGATGAGGATATGAATATTGATTATTCATTAATTTATATATTCTCTTGCAAATTTAATTCAGATCTATTAAGTATATTTAGATTAAAATTAATTTTTACCTTTATAGAAAATAAGACCCTTCAAGTATATTCAAATATAAAAAATAAATATTTGGAAGTTGAAAACAATATTTCCCTTCAGGGTGTATTTGAAATAATTTCAGAGGGGTTACATGATATTAATGAGGTTCCCCACTTCTTCTATGTTTTTGATGATCAATTATCAAAAGATAATTTAAAAATAGGAGAAGAGGATTCAGTGTGGAATGAACCAACATTAGATTCACTAGAAGATTGGGAGGGAACTTCTGAATATTATATAGAAGAAAATTAGACAACCTAATCTATGAAAAAAACTAACATAAATTTAAAATTAAATATTACCTTCCCAACTTCTAATTGTAACTTATCAAAAATAAGTTCATCAATAAATCCTAAGTTAAATATAATTCCTTTAGGAGAGTTCTTTAATTGTTATAACCTAGAAGAGGACTTATTTATTTCCTGTTTGGGGATATTAAGTGAGTTCCATAAATATTTAATCTACTCATATATTAGGTGTATTAGATTCTCAGGATTGGGGATGAGATCAATATGTGAATTCTTACTATTATTGAAATGTTCTCTTATTATTTCTAATCCATCCTTATTTATAAATATTTTTATATCAAATGAAATCCAATATATAATTTCCAAAACTAGTTACTTAATCAAAGATCTACATCCAAATAATTATCCTAATGATTTCTTATTTATATCCAAAGATAATAAAGGACCTATGTACGTTTATAGTAGAATAGATTTTCATATTTTCTCAGAAGGAATATTTAAAGATATATTAAACTCTAATGTGACAAAAGGGGAATTAAATTTATTAAGAGTGAATGAAGATACTCTTTGGAATAGAGTGATAATATTACATCCTAGAATAATAACTTGGTTCGATGAGTTTATAATGGGGGAACTAAACGGTATTAGTTATAAAGCCAATGAATTAATTTTATTCCCTGTAGAACAATTGAGGAGAATATTTTTAGCTTTAAAAATAATAGAAAGAGACTCCCATATAAATACATCCTATATATCACCTTCAAGCTTATTTCAATTTTCATCTTTAAGGATGAGTGTAATGGGAGTACTAGTATTAGGTCTGGGAGAGAATAAATTAGTTTTGAAAGAGACAGATATGAAAACCAATAAACCAGCTCTTATATCAATTGGAAGATTAAGAGAGAAAGAAGTGTTATTTACTTTTGTTGGAATTGAAGACAGTTGGACAGGGGGTCATAAAATATATGATGAGCCTAACTTAATTTTACCTAACTGCATAGATTGGTATAATCTACCACTTTTTATAAGAGCTTCCTTTCATAGACATTTTTGTGTTAATAAAGTTAAATCAAACTTAAATAAGGGAAGAAGCATTTGGGGGTTAAGGGCCATATTTGGTAATCTTAAGACAAAAGAGTGTAGTTGCTTAAACTCTATTATACTTAATTCCACTTGTGTAAGTACTAATAAAAAATTTAAAGTAAAAGATTCCAGACCAGGAGAAAGTTTAATATTAGAATTAGATAATCCATTTGATCCAAAAATGTTAATATCTCCTTATTCCATAGTCCTAAGAAAGCCTACTAAAGAAAAAGAAATATTCCCAAAGATAGAGAAATCTTCTGGGGAGATATTTGATAATTTAGGATGGTCTAAATCCATTAAGGAAAAGCCCAACCCTATATTCTCTACAAGGAAAATATATGAGGAGGAATGTATAGGGGGTAATAAAGAATACCACAAAGACCCTAATTTAACTTACTACTTTGGAGGGGATGATTTAGAAGTTAGGAAAAATATGAAAAGGATTAGCTATGGGGAAATAAGAAGATTTATACAAGCATGGTTAAGAGAATCAGAAAAAGTATCTTACTATCCACATAGTAATGTTTCTCAATTTGGAGTCCTTCCTTGGACAATAGAAACATGGAGGGATTTAGAGAAGACATTTTTGAGTAGGGATTATATTAATAGAACATTAGAGGAATTAAAAAAGGGAGAAATAGGAGAATACCCCAACCCATATATAAAATTATCTTGGGAGGAGATAAATGATATATCAGAAACCCTATTAAAGGGGAATGTAGAAGCAGGACTATCTAAAGAGGAGGAAATGGAAATAAGATTTATAAACCAAAAATCTAAGATCTTTTATGACTTAACATTGGAGTTAAGGGATATAGAGTCCCTTACAAATTCTATAATATCTCTTAAATCTGAGATGGTAACTCCCATTGAGTTACTAGACCCACTATTTCTATATAGTAATAAAAATAAGGTTATATATAAAAGGGTAAAGAGAACACAACCAAATTTAATTATACTAAATGGTATTAGAAAAAAGTTAATGTTAAAACACCTTACCTTGAAGAGGGGAAAAGCAATAAATCTTATGATAAAATTAAATAGGGATATAATGGAAATAGAGGATCTATGTCTTTGTAAAAAGTTTGTAACTATAGATAAATATAAAGAAGAGTTTTTAAATACAAACCTTAGTGGACTTAAGTCTAAAGAGAAATCTCAAATCTTTATTAGAAATATTATTGCTAATTTTAACACTATAAAAAGAGAGAGTATAAAAATAACTATAGAGAGAAAGAAGGAGTTTGAAAACTTATATTTTATTATGGGATTAAGATTAGATAAATATAAAAAAGATGTATTAAATAGTAGAAATAGAATAAGATTCAATGGGAAGGGGAAAGATTATATAAATAAAGTTTTAAGTAGACCTATTAAACTTAGAAAACTTAAATCATCTACCAATACTTAATTTTAATTTAATTAATTAGAATAATATGTCTTTATTATTTTAGATTATCATAAAAAGTAATAACGGGTACCTTATTTTGGTTACATCTGTTTTTTTAAGATTTTAAGGGGTTATAAGGGGTTAAAACCTAGATTTTAAGAGATTTTACTATGATTTTTCTAAATATTCAGGAAATTACACATAAACTAGAGTTAAATTCTTAAGTTTTTACTGATAAATAAGAATTATACAGAGGAAATTTTATAATTTCCCTATTTTATAAGGTTTTTAGTTAAAATAAAACTGAAATCTTGTGACTATAAGAGAGAAGTAAACTTTATGAGGTTTTTAGTTAAAAATAAAACTGAAATCTTGTGACTATAAGAGAGAATTAGAAATCCCCCATGAGAAAATAATTATTAATATAAATATGGAATGGCCGTAAAGACTGATTTGCCTTAGTTGAGGGGGACAGCTAAAGTAGATTAGTATTCCAGCCTCATAAAAGGAATAACTTTACTATCTTGAATATAAATCAGTATGGCTAGTTTAAGATGGCCTAACTGACCTTTTAGTCTGGGTCAATAGTATGCTAGTTTTATTATTTAATGTAATAAGCGTTTATTTCACAATTAATATGGATAATCCAAATTATTAAGGTATCAGGTTTTAAAGCCTAAGACGTCAGGTGAAAGGAAAAATGTCATTAACAAGTGTTTTAGAATTAGATTTTTTACGTGTGAATAACATGGGGGTAGGCAACTTCGAAATCTTTTCAATGTCCATTGGGGATAAAAAGGAAACCTGACTATGGAGAGAATTAATAAACTAAATTATATTTAGATACTATAAAACTATAGTATTATTCTTTTCTAATTTGTGGTACCGAGAAACTGAACGTTCCAGCCCTCGCGGCAAGACGAGGGTGATTTAGGGGGTAATGCAAAAATTAATAATAGACTTATAACCTAATAAAATATATCAAAATATAAATTAGAAGGGAATAGTTGAGGTTAAGATTACCTCCACTTAGGCCAAAAGGATGGTGAGTGGTATGGCAGTTTAGTAAAATTTATTAGGCTAGAGGGAATAGGTAGAGAGTAGGATTAGAGACCCTTGTATTCTATTAAATAAGTTTTAAATCCAATATTAAGAAGGGTTTACCAAGGAACACAATATACGATAGTGGATATGAAAAATAGTTTTTAGGTCTGCTCAGATTAGCTACTTGGGGAGGTATGATGCTTAAAGAGAGGAACCCCAATTTACCTTACTTCTTTTTCGAACAAGACTCAAATACTTGTTCGGGTTAAGTTCTTTTTTAGTTAATAGAACTTTTATTAAAGCTTCTGAAAGGCCGCTTGGAATAAACATAATCTGTTTAACAGTAATGGTTAATTCTTCTGGTAACTTTGAGCAAATAGAGAAGCGTTAATCGCACCACGACCTAAGATAATTTATTAAGAGAAAACCTTAGGGACCACATGAATTGTGGGGAACATCTAGGCTTTTTTGAAATAGAGATAAGAGAGTACTCTAAAGTAATCGCCTTTTAGTAGTGAGGCGGTGAATAAGTTGTCGAGAGGACCAGTTGCTCGTCACTCGCTTCGCCCTTAAGGGGTAGTTGTGATAAGTCGAAACAAGGTAGAAGCAGGGGAACCTGCCTCTGGGCTTTCCTAAGCTTATATAAAAATTAAATAA